ATTTTCCGAAAGGTTCTGAGAAACTGGAGTAGATGCCAAGAAGGACGGGAGATTGGAAACAAACTCCTCCCAGGAAAGATGAAAGGAATTTGAGACCAAAAAAACACACACCAAGATTATGAGAGGATAAGACTGAACATGGCTGGGGGGCATCACAGAGAAGACCAAGATCTGTTTTCCATCATCTCAAAAGACCCAGAAGAACATATTTTGCACAATGGGTGACGTGGTTAAGCAATATTCATCTTACACATAAATACATTTCTAGCAAGTCGTTAGGCAAAAGAGCCACACCCTTCTCATTGCGCAGCAGTTGACTTGGGCAAAAGGAAGCAGAATTGGGAAGTGGTTGGAAGACAATCCGTATTGCAAGTTGGATCTCCTGTAACAAAACGCGAGAAGGCCTCTTTAGCTGAAGAAACTGGTAGAGGAGGCCACCCTCACAGAGGGACCTCTGTGTGTTTCCTCCGAAATAATCTTCACCAGACGTGGGAATTAAAACGACCATTGAAGAATGATAAGCTGAATGTGTTTCAGTGAATGGCGGGACCTACAAGGGCCCATATCTGCGCCTACCCACACGTTTTTTGCTGGCAGAGATTTTTGCACCAAGGCAAGCAGATAACCCTAGCTTCTGGACTTAACCTGACCAAGTTTCCCTTTGAGATGCTAAATGGGCATGGTTCCATTGGCCCCCAACATGTGCCAAGCTGTCTTCTCGTGATGGGGGGGGGGAAGCTGAGAGTACGTGAGGGGTGGTGCTGGACTCCTGCCCCCAACTCCCATCTCAAAGCCTTCATTGTAACCTCTAGGCTAGGTAGCCACAATCAGTGTGAAAACGGGTCACCCGGGAAGCTCCTGTTAGCAGCAGTTGATGTTCTCCTTTGTGTTTCCCCCCCTTCCCCTCCCTCTGAGCAAGCCTGCAAGACTTGGACAGGAAATTCTAGCCCTCTGGCTGGTGTGAGTGCGTGTATATGTGTGTGGGCGGACTGGTGACTGCCAGATACAGTTAGTCAAAACTGGATAAGAACTCCCGAATGGGGCTGTTCTCTGTAGAGTTTATCCATTGATAGTTTTCTTCATTGGGGCTCCCCGGGGGCCTTCTGGACTGTTTCTTCTGATGGATTCCATCATTCTGCAGGAGCAATTAGTTGAAAAGCTGCTTTTACCCTGCACTCAAACCCAGCGCAGTCATTCTGCCAAGCTGAAGGTACCAGAATATCTGCAGAGCAAGGGCCAGGCTGGAGGGGGTGGGGGGAAGAGGAGGGGAAGGGGGTTGGATAAAAGGGTGCTCCAGGAGAAGCATCTTGCCACCCAAGATGCCTCCAAAACACAAGGGAAGAAGCCGATAAGGACAAAGATTGTTGAGGGTTGGAGTTGGGGGGAGAATCACAAGTGGTGGAGACCTCATTTCTGTGTTTTCCATCAACCGGCGGCTTTCCGTGGCCGCTCTGATTGGGATGTGTTAACAGAGAAGAAGAGGAACCAAAATGGTACATGGGCATTTTGGGAGGAATTGCGTTTTGAGATGACAATTCGGGAGGTGGCCTTTTAGGGAGAGGGGAGCTCTTCCCCCTCCCATTTTCTACTGGGGGGATTCTTCCCCGCTATCAACCCACAATGGTCTGGACTGGAGAAGTGGGTGGATGTCGGTGAGGTGAGCATCGGGTTTGGGCAGGTAGATTGGTGTGCCTCGTATGTTGGGGTTGTCAGGACGGTGCTTCTGATCTGAGGGTGGTGGTTTGGGTCAGTCAAATACTGTTCAATTCCTGAGAATTGAACAGCCAGGCTGAGTCTAACGAGAATAGTGGCTCGCTGGTTTTTCAGGACTGTAATTGTGTGTCCCAATTTACACAGAACACTTTCCTGAAAGCAACTATTTGTGTACCAGGGTCAGGTCATTGAGAAGTAATCTGGAATTCCAGAGTCTGATGGAGACCCAAATTAGTACCATGTCTATTTTATTTAAAATGTTCAGATAAAATCCTGTCCTTGGATTCGCCTGGCTGCTGTTTCTCTCTCTGTTCATCCGCTTTCTCTGCGGTGTGTATGTGTGTGTGTGAGAATAATGGGAGCCTATTGCAAGGATAAACAGCTGAAGTACCTGTGTCATGTCCTCTGAGGGGTGTCCATTTTTTTTTTTTTAATTTGAAGGTCAAAATGCCCCATTTGGAGTGTAAAACGGGCTGTTTCAATCATTTGGGAAGGGTCTTAAATTTAAAACAAGTCTGTTGCATGCTTGAAAACTCTCCAGAGAAGCTCTTTCCTTTATTTTTTTTTAAATTATTATTTATTTGATTTATATAGCTGCCCGTCTCGCATACGGGCTCTAGTTGTTCTGTACGATGCCAAGAAGGCATGATCGTTTTATCTGCCATAAAAACGGTCCTGCCCATCATTTTTAAAACCAGTGACTCAGTTCCATCAGTCCTGATTTGGAGACATCCCTGCTCTGGTGCCCTCTAGATAGATGGGACTTCAGCACCCATAATTCCTAACCAGTGTAGCCTTTGATGATGGGAATCAGACACACCGAGGGAGCGCCAGATTGGAGATGTCTGTGTTGCCTGTAAAAAGAAAAAAATGTGTTGAGTTGCTTCGGAGGCCGCTGTGTACCAGTCTTGACCTAAGAAGGTAGAATGTATCAAAGAAGGGAATGATTATACTTCAGCCAGATTACGGTATGCATGTGTCTGCTGACGTGTTTAATGGAGCTTTCCCATCAATATTGCTCCAGTTTCACTGGAAATAATCCTCCTGCATTTTGCTCTTTCTTTGAGAAGAAGCCAATGGCCCAACTGAGTCATTCTTATGCCAAGGCGGAGATGAGGGACTGGGTTCTCCTCCTTTCTACTCACAGAAGCTGAAGATTGCATTCTGCAAGGGGCAACTTGGCCCATATTTAAATGTTGTCCCATGCCATAATGGAATTTCTTGAGTTTTTGTTTGGGATGTTGTGTGAGCCCAGCTGTGGAAGCTTGGAAGCCAGGGTTGAAGACTGAGAGTGCAGTGTGAATGAGGGCTTCAGCCCAAAGCACACTTCCTTTTGAGCAAACACAGAAAAGCAAATTGCTAGTAGAAACTCAGATAAACTTTTGCTAGAGACAAAAAATATTTAATTCTTTTTTACATTCCCGGCCTGCTCTGAAGCTGTTCTAGGACAGAGTCCATTAACAAAGTCCAGCTGTTCCAGGAAATCTGTTCTTGGTCACTGTCTGGTAGGTTAGAGTACCTGCAACTAACTTTTCCAGAAATTATGAGAATTCAACTGCTTGTAACGGTATGTGAGAAAGACCTTGGGAGATGGGGCAAAGAGATGCTGACTAGAAAATGGTCAGATAAGAGAGGGCATAGCCTACAGCTGCATAATGGGTGGAGAAAGAGGCTCAGAAAGGACCCTCCCTAATTTCTCAAACTTTAAAAGAGACAGCGGGAGAATTGTACTTTCAGACTTGCAAGATTCTGTCAATGTAGCCTTACAATAAAGTAGAATTAGCCCATCTGGTCATGTTACCTGTCTGGTCCACCTGGGAAGGCTGACACTGCCCACAACTCTGATTAGTCCTGTTGGCTTGAGAATGGGCATCCAAGAACACCTGAAGGTCCACAATTCCTCTGTGTGTTCTGGTGACGAATCGGCTCTGAATTATGTCTGAAATCCTGGAAAGATTGGCAAATGATAATACCAAGAAGGGCCAGTTATTGATTAGAGACTCCTGATAGATCTCTGGTTGCTTTGGAATAGACTTTCAGGGCTCTTGACTTTAACAAAAGCAAAGACGTTTGCTTGGTATCCGTAACCCATCTCTCAGCCTCAGTGCTTCTTGATTGTAAAATGGGTGTACTGCTAGTTGATTTGGATCAGTTTGGGAAGTGCTGGATGGTAGATTTGAGGAAGCCTTCTAATGCAAATGGTGAAGGGCCAGAACAGAGAAGCAGAGATTTCTCTCAGACTTCAGTTGAGCTTGGATACTCCAAACTGGTGGAAATGAAAGCTCCAGATGGTTGGTTGGTCCCACTCTGCTTTTGAGATGTTGGCGAGTGCCTGATCTTGCTACTCCCTACAAGCAGACCTGCCTCTTTGCACCTAGATGTTGGGATCCTTGGAGGGGAGCCATGATGAACAGAGATCTGGAGGTGGACACAAAGCAGAGAAGATATTCTGAATTAACAGTCCTTAAAGATGACAGCTTGGGAGAAAGAAACCTCTGTAGAGCAGGAGCAAAAACCAATTGTCTGGTTATCCTTGAGTTAGTGGGAATTATGAATGGTGTGTTCAGAGCCTCTTTGCCAAATAAAGTGGAAAATTTATATGATTCTTCTTTCAGTTCCTGGGCTGATGGAAAGGACTAGCATACCAAGGGCAAATAAGTTTATTGGGTGGCTTCTGAATCTCACCTTTTAGGTACAGTTCTCATCATTCCAGCCAGTATACTAATTGGAAAAATGGGAGATGTTACCCAACATAGTTGGGGAAGGAAAAGGGATTTCTCCCAACCCTCTTTGGCTTCAACTAACATCTGTTCACTGTCCAATAGAGAGTTTCCCAATCTGGGCAGCTTCCATATGTAAGGACTTCCTCCCAGAATTCTCCAGCCAGCATGGTCATTGCTGAGAGTTTGGGAGTTGAAGTCCATACTTCTGGAAGATACCCAGGATGGGAAACACTGCTCTGGTGCCACTTCTACTTTCTTCTCCCTATGGCACTTGATCTGAATGGCATCTTTGTCCTTTGATGGGGCTGTTATCCCATGGATAGGCAGGATTATGACCACCACCTCTATTCCAGCCTCCATTATTTATCCATTAATAGAGATCTTCTTGACAAGTGGGTTGAATCTCCTAGAAAAACCCATTGAAGCCAACAGCTCCTGACTATACTCAATGGTAGCCAGTCTCAAGAGTTAATGTATCTGATGTGCAAACAAGGAGTTTGCTTTCTTTCTCATTCTCTCCTCTTTCTCCAGTCTGACCCATGGCTCCTTATCTCCCCCTCTCAGGATCATGAGAAGCAATATGTGGGGTTTGCCACCCTGCCCAATCAGGTACATCGGAAGTCTGTGAAGAAGGGCTTTGATTTCACCCTCATGGTGGCAGGTAAGGACCACCCAGATGCAGGATATTCTTTTAAGAACAAGCATGTCTGTGGATCTACCAGACGATTTCTCAGCTTCCCAGTCTAACCTACCATTCTGGGGTTTAACAAACCAATCTGGCCTTTATCTTCCAAGGTCATCCAAAATCAGTTAGGAATGGCTACCCAAAATGTGAATAGGTTGCATATTAAACCTAATCCTTGCTAGAGGTGGGCAAACTGGCCCTCCAGGGGTGGGTGAATCACAATTATCAAAAAGGATAAATACTGTTGAATTTCCTTCCTTCCTTCCTTCCTTCCTTCCTTCCTTCCACAAAACCAAAGCCAAGTGCAATTCAAGCATAAACAGGTTTTCATCAGGACAAACTTTAAATCCTAGGAGAATATTTGCATGCTTCCAGAGTAAAGAAAGACACACTCATACACAGACATTTTTTAAAACAAAATTAACCCTTGGTAAATGTACGGACCATCTTTTGACTGAAATGTCTTGGGACTTGTTGAATACTGCTTTTAATATTTTTTCCCCCGACATGGGTGGATCAGTGATCTTTTTTGCATCTGGGACTTTTTTTATTCCTCTTTTTTCGCTTTCCATATAACAGAACTTCAGGGATTGATAAATGCCTGCATCTGCTGGCAGCTGTGAATGGTTGGCCTTGATGATCATGATCATGATGATATTTTACCCTTCTTTGGGAGGAGAGAGCTCATGCAACCTGGAGTTAAGGCACAGGTCTTTTTGACTACTTGGTGATTCAATTTCACACCCACTGGGGTTTAACTGGGGTTGGTGGTCCTTATCCTTCCTTGAAAGAAATTCCTAAGGGAGGATGCACAATCCTTGACACCACCAGATGGCTTGTAATAGGTAAGTATATTGGTCTGTTTTAGAGAGCAGTTGTAAATTGAAAGCGACTGTGCTTTTGCGAGGAAGCGAGCAAAGTTTTAACCTGGAGATGCAGATTCATCAAAAACCCCACAGATCAAAGTAAGACTGTTTGTGAGATGTACCTGGAGGGGGGAGGAATTATAAGATTCAATTAGGGTTGGCCATATTAGTTGTAAAAATAGACAAATGTTTATTTACCTTGATAACTCTCTGCTTCCATCTTTGAGATGGGTGACAGCCAATAGTTGGTTAACCCATACCAAGAAAAGGTGCTGTTTACATGCTCAGATGAGGGTTTTTTAAAATCTTCAAGTGTTCCAAAATTAGCTTCAGCCATTCTAATAGTTATTTTGGAAGATCTTCCTGCTCCAGGAATTGAAAGAGGAATTGTCCTTGGGATGTTCTCGTTCCAGCTAACGGTTTGATCTGGGCCTACAATGTGTCTAAACCCTCCTTTGTTCACATAACACAATTTTTCTGCAAGGACTGAGAACAGAGATTAAATATTAGACCGAAATGTTGTATCTATCCAAGGACAGAGTGTTCTAAATAAGAATACCCAGTACAGAGAGAAGATACTGGTAGTTCTGCTGTGTAACATCTTGAGATTCAAGACTTGTTCCAAGAGGGTTTCTTTTTTTAAAAAATCTGCTGTTTGTTCTTGCCCCTTTAGGAGAATCTGGTCTGGGCAAATCAACCCTGGTGAACAGCCTGTTTCTGACAGATCTCTACAAAGACCGAAAGCTTCTCAACGCTGAGGGTACCATTTTTAATTATATAAGGAACCCTTTTGATCAGCTAATAGCATGATTCCCATAACGTTTAAGTTTATAGCTTGTGGATCTTAATGGCTTATTCTAGGTGTATGTGGGTGGGTGGGCGTCTTTGTAATCCTCGAGGGGTCTATGTTACGAAATGAGATGATTCATGGACCAACTGGGATCTTCCCTGGGCCAAAGCTGCATCATGGGATTGCTGAAAGTGTGGTTCAGGGTAATGGATGAGTTTGTCTCTTACAATCCTCAGAACTTCTCCTGTGTCCTTTTACTCCATCAGGGAAGTATGTATTGTCCACCCCACCTGACCTCATCAAAAACATCATGACTATGTTGGTTGGGTTAGCCTGCAAATCCTTGTTGGCTTGTTATATATGCTTTGCAGGGTTTTGCATGCAGAATTAGAGAAACTGAGCCACATTATCCTTGATTTTGATCAATTAATTATGTGCCATCATTTCTAATTCCTAGCAACCACATAGATAGATCTTCTCCATGATTTTTCTGTCCATGTGCTTTTCTTGGTAAAAATGCAGGAGTGGTTTATGGTTGTTTTGGCCATGACTTAGCCAAGACCATCCAGCACATTGGTTATTTTGGAGGAAAGGGAGAGAAGATGCAGCCTGGGGATGACTCCTGAGTAATAGTCTTGGTTGGGACTTGGGGAAGATCATGGCACTAATCTCCACTGTGGTTTTTCCTTCATCTTTATCTATTAAGAAAGAATAAATCAGACGGTAGAGATTGTGAAACATACTGTGGACATTGAGGAGAAAGGGGTCAAGCTGAAGCTAACCATAGTGGACACCCCAGGCTTTGGAGATGCCGTGAACAACTCAGAATGGTGAGTCCTTCCTTCTCCTTTGGCTCAGTTTGCACACAATGCACCTAATTTCAATTCATCCATTCTGTGAGCATCTCCAATAGCTGGGATTTGCACGAGACACAAAGACGCATATGCACACACATTAAATAGCCAAGATTTAAACTAACCCAAGTTAACACATTCTGGGAAGGCAACCACAAGATCCTCCATTAAGTGGGTTCAGCGTCTCATGTCAACACAGCCAAACTGTCATTTTTTTTTTTTTTTTACAGCCATCTATGCTGGGAACTCTCATTGTTTTCATTCTTCTTGTCTGTTACTACCTTCCAGTTGGAAGCCCATCACTGACTACATCGACCAGCAGTTTGAACAGTACTTCCGGGATGAGAGCGGCCTGAATCGGAAGAACATCCAAGACAATCGAGTGCACTGTTGCCTCTATTTCATCTCGCCCTTCGGCCATGGGTAAGCCCGAGGTTGAACAGTTATGGCCATGTTGTTTGGAAGTGGGTTTTGATGCAATCTCTGCCACTCTTAAGTCACATCCAAATTGCTTCCCCTTCCGGTTTTGGAATTCAGCTGGGAGGGAAGGTGTCTAGTTCCACATCTCGTTTAGTTTCTGAGAAGCCAACCAGGATTGGGATGGATTATGGACCTGGTGTTGGCTGATGTAGTGTAAGATTACCCCCTTTTGTGTACTGCATCTTTTTTCATTGCAGATTAAGGCCGGTTGATGTGGAATTCATGAAGGCACTCCATGAAAAAGTGAACATTGTTCCCCTCATTGCAAAAGCCGACTGCCTTGTTCCCTCTGAGATTAAGAAGCTAAAAGAACGGGTGAGTGAGGAATTGCTTATATCCAAATGAAGGGGTCATTGGGTAGGATTTTCTTGTGGGGCACTCCCAAATCAATAGGAGCATAGATCACAGAGAGGTTTATTTTAGCCATTCACCCCATGTGATCTCTCAAGGGAAATCAACGTAGGGTAGCGTTCCTCAACCTTGGCAACTTGAAGATGGGTGGACTTCAGCTCCCAGAATTCCCCAGCCAGTCATGCTGGCTGGGGAATTCTGGGAGTTGAAGTCCAGCCAGCAGCAAGTTGCCAAGGTTGAGAAACACTGGTGTGGAGTATTGGTTACAGACTCTGAAAGGCTGGGGAATGTGTATTTGCATCCTTTCCCTATGGGCAGTGATGATCATTCATCCAGCAGAAAAATAAATAAATAAATAAATAAATAGCAACTATTTGGGGACTTTGGAGAAGCTTAAAAATGTCCCTTTGCCAAACCCAACAGGACCTAAGTTTTCCTGTCATTGTGCCTGTGGGACAAACGGCAAGGAATACATTGCAATACAGTGCGGTATAATATGATTTTATTTATGCTTGCGTCAGATCCGGGAAGAGATCGATAAGTTTGGAATTAAAGTCTACCAGTTTCCAGAATGTGATTCTGATGAAGATGAAGACTTCAAGCAGCAAGACAGAGAATTGAAGGTGAGCAAAAATGCATCGTTATGAAATTCAGGCATATATTATATCACCTTACCTTTTTCAGATGCATAAAAATGATGAATTCTTTCTAGCATTCTGTGGCCTTAAGGATTTTCGAGACACAGAGTCCCTAATTGTAGGGATGTTTTTATCCGGATGCTGAGAGGGAAAGACCGGGGAAGGGGAGGGAGAATTATATAATTAAGGGAGGGCTGTTCTATCAAAAATGGGGCAGAGAGGCACCAACGCTGTGTCTACAAATCAGCCAAAATTGGATTTGCAATTTGACTCTGGGAACCGATCCAGTGAGGACATCTGAATAGAATTGTTGAATCAGAAGGATTTGATTCGGATTTCCCAGTTCCCTTGGGGAAAAAGTTAATACTTCTTTCACAAAAAATAGTTTGAATAGATGCAGGGGTATCCAATCTGGGACATATTCAATTTGGAAATCTAATTCAATTTTGGGATTCAAGGGGATTGCTTTTAGTGAGATGCCTAAATCTTCACATATCCCTTATAATTCAATTTTTTTCTCCCCATAAATGGTTTATGAGTTGGGAAAGACGCTAGCAGCACTATTCCACAGGGGTCATGGTTTTGATCTATTTCATTATTTCACAGTTCCCTGGTGGAAAAGGGCAACATATTTTTCTGCCAGGGTTCATAGGAATTGGTAGTTCCATTTCCAGCTCTCCTGGGATGCTGGAGTCCTGAAACGAGCAAGCGATGGGGCCAACGAGAGAGAAAACTTGGAAGTACAGGGGAAATTTCACTGTTAATTCCCATCAGAAATTTTGCTATGAAAGATTTAGAAAGTAGTGTGATTCCTTCTGAGAATATCATGGAGAAAACAAACCAGTGGATTATCAAAGAAATCAACCCAGAGTTCTCACTCAAGGCACAAGTGACCAGACTCAAATTATCCTATTTTGGACACATTATGCAAAGACCTAATTCTCTGCAGAAGTCTATAATTTGGGGAAAGGTAGAAGGAAAGAGAAGAAGAGGACGACCAGCAGCAAGTGGATGGACTTAATTGTTGTGGTGATGGGTGCACCATTGGAAGATCTGAAGGACCAGGCTGGGGACAGATCATCCTGGAGAAGGACTACCTTTGTGGTTGCTGAGAGATGACATTGACTTGATGGCACATTATCGCTCAATCAAATGTTCTCATTTGGTCTAGACAGAGAACAGCATCTGGATGATACCTCATCAGGGCTTGGAAGCTAAGCAGGATTGGTGCTGGTTAGTTCTTGGAAAAGAATTTAGCAGAGAATCTCAAGGTTGTAGGCTAGATTGGGAAGTTGAAAAATATCCCAGAGAAAGGTGATTATGGACCACTTCTGTCTTGTCATCCAAAAAGACCTGCCTGGACAAGTCCCCCAAATCTTGATGCAAAGGCAACTCTACCTTTTTATCTTTTAATTTGCAAGTAGCACCTGGCAGCTTCCTTCTGGGTCAATGAGAGTTTTAACCTAATAGATAAACATGGGATATTTGTTGCACCAAATATGCGCAGGGTTTGTTTGCTATTCAAAAGCCGAGATCAACCTCGGTAAGCTTTCAACCAGGTCCTCCTTGTAAACTTGTCTGCTTTTCTAATGGGTGTCCAGGAAGGGCGACCTCTCTCTTGTTGTGGTTCTCCTAACTTCTCCTAACTTTTTACCTCTGTCCAGGAGAGTGCCCCCTTTGCAGTCATTGGCAGCAACACGGTGGTCGAAGCCAAGGGCCAGAGAGTCCGAGGACGACTCTACCCCTGGGGCATTGTGGAAGGTAAGCCGTCTTGTTGAATTTACACTGATCCTAGGAACAGAGGGATCTATTAAAATATTTTCTTTTAAATCTAAGTGAAACTTCCAAGTTTGGGAGCAATGAGGGCCAAAACAGAGTGAAAGTCTTAGTTATGAGCTTCTGAGGCTTAGTGGGTCAGTTCTGGGACTCAGTGGGTCAGGGTTAGAATGAATGCTGGTTGATCTTGGCGTATTCCAGTCAGACTGGTGGACATTCCAAGTTGTCCTTGCAGAGATGTGAACTGTGGATGGATGGAGATCCAACACGGAGGTAACACTGAGTGCTACATGGGAAGATCTCTTTCCTTTTTCTTCATTGACTGTGCATCTTGCTGGTACAGAATGCATTGGTGAACTCCTTTTAATTTATTGATGGATTGACTTCTAATGCCACCCAACTCCAAAAAGACTTCTTTCTGCTTCCCTAGTGGAAAACCAAGCACACTGTGACTTTGTGAAGCTACGGAACATGCTGATCCGAACCCACATGCATGACTTGAAAGATGTCACTTGTGACGTTCATTATGAGAACTATCGAGCACAGTGCATTCAACAGATGACCAGGTGGGTTCCCTGATCCACCAGATAGAGACAAATACGTGTGAGTTAGCCATTAACGGCAGCTACTGATGGTTGGAAGGTGCGCTGAGATTTCTTAGTGACAGCTGAGGCTTGAAAAATGGCTTAGTCCCCTGGAGTTTCTTTGATTACAGCAGAGAAGAATCGAAGTTGATTTAAAGAAGTTAAATTTAAATCCTTCTCCCCCTTTTCAGCAAACTGACTCAGGACAACAGGATAGAGAGTCCAATTCCAATCTTGCCACTTCCAACTCCAGATGCCGAAACAGAGAAGCTGATCAAGATGAAGGATGAAGAGGTAGGCTGTTGGAGATGCTGTTCAAGTTTGAAATACCAGCTAAATTTCCTATCTGACTATGGTTTGGGCAGCCAGTGTCATTTTGGGGGGCTTGTGTTGATGACACAAGAAGCTTGTGTTCGCTGGTGCAAGCAGAGGAATGTTTGCTTAGCTCATGTAGCTATGCGATGTGGGTTTTATAGCTAGGGTGCAGTTTGCAGATGTGACCACTAGCCTTATGATGCCGTCTGAGTAAAAACACAAGAGTGCAAGCATGAAACTGTGTTACCTCTCACTCTTCTTATCTTGCCGCAGCTGCGGAGAATGCAGGAAATGCTGCAGAAAATGCAGCAGCAAATTCAAGAACAGTGAGCAGAAGCCAGGATGAAGAGAGCGGACGGGAGTGCACCCTTGGGTCTGTCTGCCGGTGGCTGCTTTAGGAGTTTTTCCTGGGATTAAAACAAGCGAAGAGACTGGGGAACGAGGGTCACCACCCCCTTTCTCCCTCCAAAGCTGATGAACGGGCTGCAAGATGCCAGCGAGATGGGAAGAGAGTCCACCTCCCCGCTTCAGAAGAGGTGTACTAAACTCTTCTCCGAGAGCGTTCTGGTATTTAAAAAGAAAAAAGAAAAAAAACATTTTGGGGTATATGAAATTTGAGGACTCTGTGAAGATGCACGTAAATGTTTACTCCTAACCACGGTGCTGTGATTCTCTTCCTCTTTCCAGCCTTCTCTCCCCTCACTTTCTTAACGCCCGCCTTTCTGTGGGGACAACATGCTGATGAACACTCTGAACAAAATGCTTGGGAGACTTCCCAGACCGATTTGATTTTGCTTGGAGAACTCTCTTTTTCGTTCTCCCCCCCCCCCCGCCTGTTTTGAGATGGGCAGCAGGAAGTGGGTTGGGTTGGGAGATAGTCTTCTGAGGGGTGTCTTCATTCCTGATGGATTGTCCACCCTGCTCCATCCTCCAAGAAACACCCGGTGTTTTTGGAGTGGTGGGCAGGGTGGAACAGGAGTAAAATAAGTTTCGCGGGTCAGAATGCAAACTTCGGCCTTTCCTTTCGATGGCCTATCTCCCCATAGATGTGTGACTTTTCCAAGTGACCAAGATTTGTATCCGTACTTTGAGATTCACCATTGTCTTTGCACACAGGCCTGTGTTCCCCCTCCTGCCAGACCCAGATAAAAACAGGATCCACCGATAAACTTCTGTATTGGTTCTTAAGCTGCTTTCTCTGTCCTTTCCCGCGTCTCCCAATTTCCACTACGCGGGAACAAAGCTTGGAGCAACATTTTCTTTTTGACTCCCTTGGGTCTCAGTCATTTTGGCTTCGATGCAACAATGCTCCCCGTGCGAGGAGCTTGGTTTCTTTACCGGGTGTATTGTGGGTTTTGTAGTCTTAAGGCTGTGGGCGAGGCTAGCGACGTTGCAGCTGCAAAGCTTGGGGAATGCCTTATTGACTCCCAAGACCTGATAGATCATAGACAGAGAGCTGACATTGTAGGACAGATAAAATTATCCTTCCAAGCCCTAATCCTGCTAGGTACATCCATGTTCCCTAATAAAGATAGGCAGATATGTTTCGCGGATACCTTTGAATTCCCCCAATGCTCGAGTGGCTGCGTCCAACCCAAAACCTTTATTTACCAGAGGGGAAAATGACAGTGTTGCCTCCTACAACCTTTCTGGCTTCCCAGTTTGTTTTCTATCTCCCTCCAGCTGATCCTGGTTTTTATTTCTGAACCAGTGAACCCGCTTCCAAAATGGGGGACTCGTGCATAGGCTACAGGTGATTGCTTAGGTCCTTCTCAACCGTTATGTTCTGTGGAAGCGTCAGATTGCGAGCAGGGGCCCTTTTGAATTCCCAGGACGCTGCAGGGCCCTTTGTGGAACCCAGGGGCATTCTGGGAAATCCAGGTAATGGGAGACGCTGATGGTAGAAGTAGAAGATCTTTGGCCAGCCGGAACATAGGACTGGGTACCTTCTCTGCTGTGACTGAGGACAGAAGAATTGGTGGGCTACATATCACTGGACAACCACCTTTCTACCAATCTCACCATCTGTTACCTGAGACATCACTTTGTTCACCTGTCACCCAGCGTTGCTGGGAGTCGGGTTTCATAGTACATTTAATAAATTGGTGTTATTGTTCTGCCTAGTGCAGTGTTGCTCCACCTTGGCAACTTTAAGATGGGTGGACTTCAACATGGCTGGCTGGGGAATTCTAGGATTTGAAGTCCACCCATCTTAAAGTTGCCAAGGTGAAGAAACACTGGCCTAATACATCTGGAAGCAGAAAACAAAGTACAGGAGAACAGAAGGAAGCCTCTGTTAATCCGATAACACACCCACTTGCAATTTTACCCCCTAATTATTCTCCCCCCCCTTGTTTTCCTGTCTTTCTCCCTCTTTTCCCCTCTCCTAGACAGCTCCTGAGCCTATCTTGTCTGCATTTGTGTGCCACTTCGAACCCAGTTGAAAGGCTAGTGCCAAGGATAAGGGGGCATCTTAATTGGACATGGCAGTCCTGGGGGATGTCTTGTCACTGGCACACAGGGGGAGGGCACAAACTCGGTGCCCGTCTGCAACTCAGAAATGCAACCCTGCCTTTTCCCAGGATGGTAGAGCTGCCTTTTTCCATGGCTGTGCGATCTGGGAAAAGAGGCAGCTGCTTTGAGAGGATGCAGACAGGCTGTGTTGATATCCCCACGTACCTGGACATACTGTTTTGCTTTGCAATCCAGAATGCTGGGGACCTCCCCCCCAAGTATTTTCCCCTTGTTTCTTTCTCTCCAGCGTGGTGCTGCAAACCCTTTTCTCGGCTTTCTGTGTTTCTGTGGTTCTTTTTTTTTAAGAGAGAGGCAAGAGGATGTGTTTTATGATAACACTTTTGCCTGTTGGAAAGAGATAAGGACCCTCTGCCCCCCAAAGCGATGGCTATAACCAGCTGGATGCTTTTTTAATGCTAGTTTCACACCCTGTTGAGGAAAGATAACACTTCTTTCCCCCCAATGAACTACTCTAAAATAAGACACGCTCACCCCCATGTCTTCACCGAACCCTGTTTCGCTCTGGCTGAGCGTTTCACAACTTTTTCCAAACGGAGGACCATATTTGGAGACAGAATGGCCAGAAACCTGGAGAAAAACCAAATTTGATTGCAGTCCTAGGCTGTTTTAAAATGAAATGCTGTCAATACTGTGACTTTCCGGTTACCTATTCATCGTTTTCCTCTCCTGTCACTTTAAAAGTTAAAACTTGCAACCGTTTTTGGAGGCTTCTGAGTTGCTCCAAAGTTTGCACTTGTCTTTGATGTGAAGGAAAGCCACGTGGCGCACACTGTCTCCTTAGTCGGCAGCCGTGTCTTTAGTTAAACCTGCTCTGTTGCAAATCTAACCAGATGCATTCTGCAATTTGGTTACATTTTTTTAAATAAAAGGGATTTTAAAAGCATGATGGTAGAATTCAGTTCAGTGGGGCTCTGGTGGAAAAAAAGAACAGCCAGATTCCTCAGCATGTTTACTAGGTTAGTTAACAACAGCAGTAAAAAAAAGTGAACCCAACTAAATCTAGCAAAATCTTTCCACAACGCATTAAACTATTGTGTGTCTGTGTGTGTGTGTTTTAGGCTGTTATGTGCATCGGGTCTTTTGGTTGAGTTTATGACTTCCGTATTGTGCAAACTAGATCCAGAATCGGTTTCTGCATAATGTGTGAACAAGGACGATATGGGCTAGTAGTAAAGAAATAAAACAAATTTCCTTCACGCATTTATTTCTGGAAAGAAACACAGTGATGTGTCAGCTTTCCACAGCCAGGGCAACCTCTGGGTGTGGGCATCCACTTCCCAGAATTCTCAGCAAGGACCAAGCTTCCTGAGGAATTCTGGGAGTTAGTCTGAACATCTGTAAAGTTGGGGAAGATGATTGTATCCTTTTGCTCTCAATTTTCTGGTGGCTGGGAAACTTGGATGAATATATTTTTTTTCAGTGATTAGGACCCCAATTTGATCATGCTAGAGTGGGGAGGGCTGAATGATTTCTTTTTCATCACTAATTTTCTAGGCCTCGTTTTTGGGGGTAAGACTGAATGAAGGTTTATGCACTAATTTTCCTCCCCAGTCCCGCAATGATAGCACTTTGCCAGCAAAATTTGATGGCCTTATTTCAGGTGGGGTGAGGGTGTGTGTCACTCAAAAGGGGCACTCTCTTTTCCTCCTTGAGTTTAAAGAGGCCCTTGCATTCACATCATGTAGAGTTATTTATTTTATTTATTAGTTAGATTTATATATTCTGCCAGGCAGCATATATAGCGCTCTTCCACAGCTATGACCATGTAGGTAAGATGAGGGGTGAGATTAGCCTGGCCCACCCTCAGCTTCCATGGCTTGAACCTGAGTTTTCCCAACCGAAGTGCTGGAAGATAAAGATATTAAACAATTATGAGATGTCCCTTTCTCCATAAACCCCCCCCCCCACAGGTTCCAGAACAGTCAGGAGAAAGATGGGGATGATGTCTCACGAAAAGCTAAGGTTTATCCATGGTTCTGCTTTCTTTTCTGCATTTTCTAAGGGTCGTTGTGGCTTTCAGAAAAGCTTTCTTGGAACGCCATTCAGACACGTTGCATTTTACAATGCATTTGAATAAAATAATCTCCACGCTGCGATTGGGTTCATTCTTGTCTATGCAAAAAGGGACAGGAGGTTTTCTTCTGGTTGTGAAGAAGGCCGTCCTCCTCAACCT